CGCGTCTATGTGTCTGGCAAACTCAAAAACCAATCCATCTGTGAGGTTTCAGTATGCAGCTATGCTCACTCAACACGTCTACGCGTCCGGCAATCTCCATCAAAAATCACCTGTGAGGCTCATTATGTGTCTATCCTCACTCAACGCGTCTATGTGTCTGGCAAACTCAAAAACCAATGCATCTGTGAGGTTTCAGTATGCAGCTATGCTCACTCAACACGTCTACGCGTCCGGCAATCTCCATCAAAAATCACCTGTGAGGCTCATTATGTGTCTATCCTCACTCAACGCGTCTATGTGTCCGGCACTCCAACATCACTCAACCCGTGGGGCGTCAGTAAGCAGCTATCCCCACTCAACCCGTCCATGTGTCTGGCAATCTCTAACCTCACTCAACCCTTGGGGTTTCAGTATACAGCCATATTTACTCAACACGTTAATGTGTCTGGCAATCTCCTACATCACTCAACCTGTGAGGTTTCCGGAAGGTTTCCTCACTCCACTAATCCATGCGTCAAGCGTCTTTGGTAGCGCATACTTTGGGTGCTATATTTGGGGTGGCCTGTTTTACAGCGCTTTTCCAACAGCGCCAACCCACTTAAGTCTAGAATGAGGGGGGGGGGGGGGGGGGAATCATAGTCGTGCATGCCGTAGTCGTTAGACCATTGACCTCGCATCCCTACAAAGCCGGGACGAAGCACGCTGGGTTCTCACCGGACCAGGCTCTCACATCGCCTTGCACGAAGCGCCGTGAGATATTGGGCGAGTCGCGTGAAGGGTGTGCTGCATTCTGCTAAGGGTGTTCGGCATGTTGTGCTTAGTTCCTTGCATTCGGATGAGAGCTGCATATGACTTTATTGATTTTTTGGTGCGTTCACTTCCAGAGACAGTCATGAGCACTGTGTGACTGCCTCGAGGGTGCTTGACCATTTCAACACAACATGGTGCGATCATCCCCCTTGCGCGGAGTGAGGCTTCTCCACCCCGCACAATGTGATCCACTCGACCACCGTTAACAAGGTTTTCGTGTGATTGAGAGCGAAGTTTCTGATTGAGAGCGAGATTGCGCGATGCGCTGTAGCTGGACTACCGCTGAGAGGTGGAGCTTGCTGCGTGACTTGAATTGAAGGCCTAGCCCGTAGCTACAAGCCGATACCCTGGTCATCCGGTGGGTGTCTCTCGTTGTGGAGCTACAGCGGGGAGCAGAAGCTACAGCAGAGCCCACCGCCCGACGCGATACCGCCCTGAAACAGTTTGAGCAGAAATAGCCAATCTGGGCAAATCTAGCAACTTGTCTAGCTCCTCGCTGCAGCATCCGATGACNTTATGGCTACCGCCAAAACAAAAGAGGTGGTAAAAATAAAAAACGGTATCCTGGTTGGCGAGCTCACGAAGTGAGTTGGCTTGTTTTACAACGTCGTTGCCAAGCGACGAAA